TTTCTGGTCTACCAACCAGCAACGTGCCATTAGGAATGAATTATACCGGCCATATTTTCATAGGGACAATTCATCCCTCCAAAAGCATGCTATGGATTGGATTAACCGAGCCCGTTTCCTGAGACCCCCGATCGATCAAGCCGAAATGGTTGACCAAATTATATCCCACTTTTCATTTAACATTTCCGTCGCCCTCCGAGGTCTCCGTATCGTCACAACTAATGAACTCATCCAACAGCTCTCCCACCTTCAACAGGCCCATTCCCCTCAAAATACCCAGAATAGTCAAACTGCCTCCTCTCATCAAAATCAAAATTCACAACAGAACTCTTTTGGCCACAATAATCAAAATAGATACCCTCCCCGTCAAAACAATTACTCCCCTCGTTTCAATAGTTACAATAGACCTCAAACGGATAACACTCAAAATCAATCATCACCCCCATCACCAGACCAGGCCATTTCCCCTTCGGGAAACTAGCGTTGACCAGACCCATGAGGACGTGTCCTGTGTCCACTAACAATAGTCCTCAAATTTCGATACTCACACACCCCTTAAATATAGATCAGGAAATCGTTCCCCCTCCAAATTATCGTCCAGAAATCCCCTTAAAACTTTTCAAAATACACTATAATGCTCTTTTAGACTCCGGTGCCTCAGTATCTGCAGTCTCCGAAGAACTGTATCAAAATTTAATCTCTGACCCTTCACAAAATAAAATCCCCCTCTTTCCTCTTAACGGCATACTCCTCACAACAGCACTAAATAATAAATCAATAAAATTAAAATCTCAAATCTATTTAAACTTTTCAATTCAAAACTATGAAACCTTTGGTATTTTTCTTGTTGTCCCCCATCTCTCTACTCCTCTTATTTTGGGAACCGATTGGTTGGTGGAAAATGGGGTGACCATAGATTATAGTACTAAGGAAATCTCTCTCCCCTCACTCAAAAATAAAATACCTTTTAAATTAATTGCAGATCATGACCCCAATAGCCTGGTAAATTCACTCAAAAATATCAATATCTCAGAAGATCTCCCTCTACTCTCCGAATCCCCCTCAAGCTCAAAATATAACCCTCTCCCTTTCGAAACAGAAAAAGATATCGCTCTCAATGACTTTCCCCTTAATATTTCTCAACAAAATTTAATGACCTCTCTCTTACAAAATTTCCAAGACATATTTCAAGACAAACCCGGCCTTCATAAATTCTTTTCTTATAAATTTAATGACCAACCCCCTAAAGACCCCCCTGTCATTCTCCATTATACTCTGCCACCTCCCATTCCCCCTGACATAATCTATAAAAAAAATTAAAAAAAAAAAAAAACATTTCATCAACAACAAATTTAAAGTACAATTTCTGTTCAAATTTAATATCAAAAGTCAACTTCAGTTTAATAATACAATAACTTAATCTATTTTTTTTTTCTTTCTCTCTCGAATCAAATCAATGCTATTCGTATCCCTATCAGGTGACACGAATTGTCCCCCGGGACTCAATAACAAATGGGGGGTTAGCATGTGGTGTATTCTGCCTAACACGGTGTCACCACCGTACGCGAGCCTTGCTCAACACACAATGGTTGCAAATGTTATTATTATGTATTTGATATTGCTATGATGTCCCTCATTAAAATGTTAAATTTCCCCTAATTGTATGTCTATGGTCCCCTAAAATTCAGTTCCTCCTTTTCTTACAACAAGTGGTTTTCAGTTCCGACTTATGTAACAACCTTAACAACTTGTTGGGGGGGTTATGTAACGTCACAGAATTTTAGGCCTTACTTAATATTATTATAGTTCCCCTGAGCATATTATTTTTCATTATTATTATTTCTTATGATTACATTATGATATTATTATATTTATCGCGCGCCAATGCATAAATGACCACAATGTTACATAACACCTGACCCCGGCCCCCACAACCCGCAGTGTCCGCCCGCCAACAGGCCGCTGCCGTTGCCGGTCGTCACCGCCGGTCGCAGCTGTCGCGTCCGTCGATACGCACCGACAAAGCAGTCTGTTTTCCCAATTATTATTGTAAACGTCCCTATAATGCGACACTGACCTTCCCCACCACGTCAACATCAACGGCCACGACCAGCGGAAAGACAACATCAGCCGTCTTTATTCACATTTTCCGAGACCGCTGAACGAACCAGACGTTTCGACTTTCGGTACCGTGACGCATCCCGAGTTTTCTACGACGACCACAACCGCGTGTCGACCACCATCACTTCGCGTGTGAATCTCATCTTATTGTTTTAATCGACGGGAACCAACCGCCATGATGGGCTAAGTACCGCTCACGGGCCCGATGGTGGGCAAAGCTGCTGAACCAGTCAACCTCCCTGCCGCCGTCACCATCCGAGGCGGTTTGATCGACGACAAGATGGGCCATGCCGGCCGCGTGTGTGCCGGTGGTATTAACCAGCCCATCCAGTTCCTCGGTCAACAACACATCTCAAGCTCAACGTCGTCAGAGTAATACCTCCAAAATTTTCCCCCCTTCTTTTTTTATTTTTTGTCACTTAAAAGCACGATCCTTGTGAAATGTGCGTTTCAGAACGTCCAGGTGTGGTTGCCATTGGGGCCTAGCGGGTAACCTCCTACGCGTTCACATACAGCTGGCGTAAAAAACCAGCTGTCCCTGTGCGCGTTTAAGTAGGGGGCCCCGGACCACACTTACAGACGTTCGAACTTTCATTTCCCCCCCAAATCATTTAAACTGCCCCGGTAACCCTGTGGAGACCACCACGAGTAATGTGATGTGTCGATCCCCGTGGGCCGAGCGTTGTTTTTTTTGTTTCCCATGTGCCCTTTTATATTTTATACCTACTTGCCATGTGCCATGCTATATATTTTATTTTTGTTAAACTGAAAAATGTCAAAACCTTATTTAAATTATCTACAATCAAAAAACCTGTAAAATACATCCACGTGATTACCCTAATATTGCTCTTATTATTTATTTTCATTAACTTATTTATTTTTTTTTCTCTCTCTCTCTCCCCACATAAATCCTCGGCATTCAGCTTGCCGTTGCGTGTATCAAAGCCTGTGAGCTCCACCGACTTGACCCTCGGGTCTCACGCGGTGCGGCTCACAGGTCATGAGGAAAGTGTTCCCCTTTCGTCATGGGTGGTTTTGGTGGCCTTAAAAAGTCACTAACTCTCACATATGGCGACCGTGACAGGACGAAATGTCCAAAAGTCCCCCTTTTAACTTATAATATATTTTTTTTTTTTTTTATATACTCTCAAACTTAAAATCCTTTCTCAAAAATATTAAAATTACTCTTTAAATGGCAAAAAACGTTAGGTCTCAAATATTATTTTTCTTGGCAAGCACATGGCAAATTATTATCCACTTCCATCCGTAAAAATTATTATTTTCCTGTAAGAAAAAACATTTATTATTCATTTTCTAAATTTCCTCTTATTGCAACTCCCCAAATCTCTTACCTATTTTATTATATTATTCAATATGACATTTTTATTCTTGTGCAAGAGACAATCTTTATTATATTATTTAACTTAATGTCATACTATTCAGTTAATTATTCTCTCTCTTGGTAACAAAAAAAAAAAAAAAATGTAAAATATTAAAGTCAAAAATGTATTATTCACTACCAAGGTAAATTCAATCAACTATTATTATTTTTTTTTTCCCCCCCATGTACACATTTGTTATCCAGTAATTTATTTCAGAAATTGTTCCTGTCGGTGTATGCATCGTGGAGGCGGTGGTGGCGTTCGACGGTGACGGCTTGGCGATCGGCTGCGGCATCGAGGCTCGGACACTGCGAATGACCCGTCTTTTTCCCTTTGGTTTGCATTATTATATTTTCCCCTTATTCTCCCCCCTTGTTAGTTTTCCCTAGACCCGTACATCCACCCTTGTATAACATTGCTAGGATCATTTTTGTATTTTGCTGCGATAACTTAAGTTTTTTTTCCCAGACCACATGGTCCAAAATGTTAGGATTGTTAATGTCAAATCTGCGGATTGTTATTATATTATTATATTATGTATTATGTTATTATAAATTATAAAATTATGTTCTTGATGAGCATGTTTCCCTTGGTAGGAACAATTATTATTATTCTTATATTATTAAATTTAAAAGGCTAGGAAAAAAACCCAATTATTATTCTCATTCTTATTATTACATTAATGTGTTAGTATTACTATTCTTATCTGTTTAAATTCCCCAACTTAAAAGCTTAATATATTACAAAAAAATCATTTATTAAAATTATAAAATCAAATTAAATAAACATTCTCTTGCACGGAATTAATAAATAATATACATTTTCTTTCTCCACATTGTGCAATCAATTTAATAGGAAATATTTATTATTATAACGTCCCCTTTAAAAGAACAAAATACCCAATGTTAGGTAGGTTTTCCCTCTGATCATTAAATTACTTTACACGACTGACTGTTTGAGATGCTGGTGTAGGAAACTTTGACCTGGTCAGTTTAGTCCACCTAAGGCCCATATCATATTATTCATTACCTTAATTATCATTATTTTCTAATTATTTAGTCTAAACTAAACCTATTAAGACCGGTTATATCTATTCGTCTGCGGACATTACTTATTTATTACTGTTAATATCTTACAATTATTACATTTTATTGAAGTTTCATAGTTAATTATTACTATAGTGTTTTTCTCAATTGATTATAATTGGTACTGAGCATATGGGATAAATTCACCGTATGGTATTATTGCTTGGACCGGTGTATTTACTCTGTTGTTCAGAAACAAGTTTAATCTATTAATTGTAATTTTCCCCTAATTATCATTTAATTATTATTCTGTTATATAAACTGCTGTTACTTAAAACTTATTATTTAAAACTTATTTCATTTTCCCCTAATGCAAAGTGCAGGCAAGCGAACCACCCGACAACCTGACTGGTATAACCCTTCAGTAAATTATTCCTCTCCCCTCTTACCCCCCACCGATTTCGATTTAACCATGTCCGTCGACGGAGAAGGTGATGTCTCGTTGACTCAAAAGGTCCCCCCTACTCTTGACTCCTTAGACAATAGGCTCAGAGATATGTTTGACAACTTTGCCCTCCAGTTTGACGCTATGTCCAAGAGGTTAGTTGCTTTTGATACCCGTATTGAGGAGTTGTGTACCCGTGTGGATGACGGTGATACTGAGATTAGGACAAATTTCCAGCAACTTCAGGCGAATATCAACCGTGATTTTATAAATATTCAGAACGATCTCTCTCATCAACAACTATGCTGTCAGGAAACCCAGAAAACCAACACCCTCACATATCACCAAATCCAAGACACTGTCAAAACCCTCACTAGTAGAGTAAGCATGGTCGAAGGTCAATGTGCCCGTCTAGCTGCCCTGGAAAATGTTGTCCGGAACCCTATCTCTGTCTCTAAACCTCTTTCTACAACCTCGTACCCCCTAGCCTGTTCTCAAGCCCCAGCCAATATCAGCTACCAACCCCCTGCACAAACTTTCAATAATAATATTTCCGCTATGCCTCAAATTTCAAGTAAAGATAGTCAACCCCTCTTACAACACTCTTTTAATAATTCTCAGCCTTTTACACAAAATTCATTTAATAATCTGTTCACCTCAACTACAATTACAAATTCACTTCCCACACAACCGGCTGCCCCGTATCACACTTCAGTCTATTCGGCACCTCAACACCAATGTACATTTTCAAACCCCCCCTCTGTCTCTGTTCATGGTACTCACTCCCTCTCCAATATCTCTGGTATCAATTTGGATTCAACCAAGTTGCCCACTTACAACGGACAGTTAACACCCATTCACAAGCCGAACAAGCCGAACAATATTTTTTGACACAACCCCCCGTCCCCGACCAGTTCAAGATCAACTATGTAAAGGCGAAGTTTGTAGATGATGCTCAGCTATGGTATCACACGTTACTCCCCCCACCATCGGTGTATAGTGAGTTTCTGTTATTATTTCGGAACCATTTCTGGTCTACCAACCAGCAACGTGCCATTAGGAATGAATTATACCGGCCATATTTTCATAGGGACAATTCATCCCTCCAAAAGCATGCTATGGATTGGATTAACCGAGCCCGTTTCCTGAGACCCCCGATCGATCAAGCCGAAATGGTTGACCAAATTATATCCCACTTTTCATTTAACATTTCCGTCGCCCTCCGAGGTCTCCGTATCGTCACAACTAATGAACTCATCCAACAGCTCTCCCACCTTCAACAGGCCCATTCCCCTCAAAATACCCAGAATAGTCAAACTGCCTCCTCTCATCAAAATCAAAATTCACAACAGAACTCTTTTGGCCACAATAATCAAAATAGATACCCTCCCCGTCAAAACAATTACTCCCCTCGTTTCAATAGTTACAATAGACCTCAAACGGATAACACTCAAAATCAATCATCACCCCCATCACCAGACCAGGCCATTTCCCCTTCGGGAAACTAGCGTTGACCAGACCCATGAGGACGTGTCCTGTGTCCACTAACAATAGTCCTCAAATTTCGATACTCACACACCCCTTAAATATAGATCAGGAAATCGTTCCCCCTCCAAATTATCGTCCAGAAATCCCCTTAAAACTTTTCAAAATACACTATAATGCTCTTTTAGACTCCGGTGCCTCAGTATCTGCAGTCTCCGAAGAACTGTATCAAAATTTAATCTCTGACCCTTCACAAAATAAAATCCCCCTCTTTCCTCTTAACGGCATACTCCTCACAACAGCACTAAATAATAAATCAATAAAATTAAAATCTCAAATCTATTTAAACTTTTCAATTCAAAACTATGAAACCTTTGGTATTTTTCTTGTTGTCCCCCATCTCTCTACTCCTCTTATTTTGGGAACCGATTGGTTGGTGGAAAATGGGGTGACCATAGATTATAGTACTAAGGAAATCTCTCTCCCCTCACTCAAAAATAAAATACCTTTTAAATTAATTGCAGATCATGACCCCAATAGCCTGGTAAATTCACTCAAAAATATCAATATCTCAGAAGATCTCCCTCTACTCTCCGAATCCCCCTCAAGCTCAAAATATAACCCTCTCCCTTTCGAAACAGAAAAAGATATCGCTCTCAATGACTTTCCCCTTAATATTTCTCAACAAAATTTAATGACCTCTCTCTTACAAAATTTCCAAGACATATTTCAAGACAAACCCGGCCTTCATAAATTCTTTTCTTATAAATTTAATGACCAACCCCCTAAAGACCCCCCTGTCATTCTCCATTATACTCTGCCACCTCCCATTCCCCCTGACATAATCTATAAAAAAAATTAAAAAAAAAAAAAAACATTTCATCAACAACAAATTTAAAGTACAATTTCTGTTCAAATTTAATATCAAAAGTCAACTTCAGTTTAATAATACAATAACTTAATCTATTTTTTTTTTCTTTCTCTCTCGAATCAAATCAATGCTATTCGTATCCCTATCAGGTGACACGAATTGTCCCCCGGGACTCAATAACAAATGGGGGGTTAGCATGTGGTGTATTCTGCCTAACACGGTGTCACCACCGTACGCGAGCCTTGCTCAACACACAATGGTTGCAAATGTTATTATTATGTATTTGATATTGCTATGATGTCCCTCATTAAAATGTTAAATTTCCCCTAATTGTATGTCTATGGTCCCCTAAAATTCAGTTCCTCCTTTTCTTACAACAAGTGGTTTTCAGTTCCGACTTATGTAACAACCTTAACAACTTGTTGGGGGGGTTATGTAACGTCACAGAATTTTAGGCCTTACTTAATATTATTATAGTTCCCCTGAGCATATTATTTTTCATTATTATTATTTCTTATGATTACATTATGATATTATTATATTTATCGCGCGCCAATGCATAAATGACCACAATGTTACATAACACCTGACCCCGGCCCCCACAACCCGCAGTGTCCGCCCGCCAACAGGCCGCTGCCGTTGCCGGTCGTCACCGCCGGTCGCAGCTGTCGCGTCCGTCGATACGCACCGACAAAGCAGTCTGTTTTCCCAATTATTATTGTAAACGTCCCTATAATGCGACACTGACCTTCCCCACCACGTCAACATCAACGGCCACGACCAGCGGAAAGACAACATCAGCCGTCTTTATTCACATTTTCCGAGACCGCTGAACGAACCAGACGTTTCGACTTTCGGTACCGTGACGCATCCCGAGTTTTCTACGACGACCACAACCGCGTGTCGACCACCATCACTTCGCGTGTGAATCTCATCTTATTGTTTTAATCGACGGGAACCAACCGCCATGATGGGCTAAGTACCGCTCACGGGCCCGATGGTGGGCAAAGCTGCTGAACCAGTCAACCTCCCTGCCGCCGTCACCATCCGAGGCGGTTTGATCGACGACAAGATGGGCCATGCCGGCCGCGTGTGTGCCGGTGGTATTAACCAGCCCATCCAGTTCCTCGGTCAACAACACATCTCAAGCTCAACGTCGTCAGAGTAATACCTCCAAAATTTTCCCCCCTTCTTTTTTTATTTTTTGTCACTTAAAAGCACGATCCTTGTGAAATGTGCGTTTCAGAACGTCCAGGTGTGGTTGCCATTGGGGCCTAGCGGGTAACCTCCTACGCGTTCACATACAGCTGGCGTAAAAAACCAGCTGTCCCTGTGCGCGTTTAAGTAGGGGGCCCCGGACCACACTTACAGACGTTCGAACTTTCATTTCCCCCCCAAATCATTTAAACTGCCCCGGTAACCCTGTGGAGACCACCACGAGTAATGTGATGTGTCGATCCCCGTGGGCCGAGCGTTGTTTTTTTTGTTTCCCATGTGCCCTTTTATATTTTATACCTACTTGCCATGTGCCATGCTATATATTTTATTTTTGTTAAACTGAAAAATGTCAAAACCTTATTTAAATTATCTACAATCAAAAAACCTGTAAAATACATCCACGTGATTACCCTAATATTGCTCTTATTATTTATTTTCATTAACTTATTTATTTTTTTTTCTCTCTCTCTCTCCCCACATAAATCCTCGGCATTCAGCTTGCCGTTGCGTGTATCAAAGCCTGTGAGCTCCACCGACTTGACCCTCGGGTCTCACGCGGTGCGGCTCACAGGTCATGAGGAAAGTGTTCCCCTTTCGTCATGGGTGGTTTTGGTGGCCTTAAAAAGTCACTAACTCTCACAAAGTGAAAACTATATGGACCTAGGCGTTTTAGCATATATCATGTTTAGTTTATTTTTTTAGGTTACCTTCTATCTAGAATCGAAAGACAACCGGGAACCCCGGAAACACCCCTTTCCGGCTTGGGAAAAATTACGTACGATGCATATTGGAAAGGTGTTATTCTAGAATATTTAGATAAACACAGAGGCATTGACAACATATGCATCAATGATGTTAGCAGTGAAACTGGTAATTTAAAAACATTTTATTTGAAACTTTTTAATCAGAATTTTGACAATCATAATATTAATAACAATTTTTATTTAGGTTTAATGAGACAAGATATTATAGACACGTTCAAATCTCTACACATGGTTGTGGAAATCTTTAAAGAAATGACCATATGCATAGACTGGAATGTTGTAGATTCCCACATAAAGAAGAAAATTGAATTAAAACAAATTCATATCGACCCAGATCGATTGAGGTGGACACCGTCAAATTTACCGGATGGCCAAGTTAGTTTTTTATGATAAAAAAAGAAAAAAACGATTTTAAATAATTATAATATATTTTTTAGGATAACCAACATCTTGAAGAATCGGTTTTCATTAAGTGCATTCCAGGTGGCTAACCACAGTGTACCTGTGTGCGGCTGGCATGTATCCGGATTATACGCAGCTCACGAATTCCGCGATGGCGGACCCGGTGGCGTTCTGCGCACTGTTCGCTACCACACCCGAGTCCACTCACTTGTACGTTATGAAGAACTGGCTAGCGGACGCCAAACGGGTGCTGGTCTGGTTGAGTGGCGTAGACACCGGCAGTACGGTAGACAATGAGATTTACGCCATGGTCGAATGCATATTATGCAAGGAAATTTCAACGCGTCCTTCACCAAGCCGGTCAGCGACTGGGTAAGACTTAAAGCGCTCATAGTCGTACAGGGCCTGTCCGTGTTCAGGGTGACAGCCAGCGTCACTTCGCTCTTATAGTTTGTGTCCATCACGTTCGCAGAGATGCACGTGGCCGTCCAAGCATACAAGCTGTCGCGGACAGGTGCACCGCATACGACGTAACCGATTACGGGTGTCCGTGCTTGGGTGCCGTCGGCGGGTTGTCGGTCATGACTCGTGGCTGGCTGCTATCCACCATCAACTGCGAGATGTTCTTGGCCAACACCCGATCCATACCTAACCGCGCGGTCATCACTATCACGCTGACTGTTACGATGATCCTAACTCTCAAGCTTCACCCCATGCTGGTGGACGACGGTGGGATTATGTACCGCAACTATCACATATTGTCGATGTTTGGGCTCAAGTCCATAGCCACCTGCTTCCTCTGAACGAAGGCACGCGATCGAGTTTAACTGCTGCTGCTGCTGGAGGTGGATGTGAGTGCATGGCGATGAAAAGTCGATTTGTACGATTACGAGTCGAGCACCCACACGATAATTCTACGACTTTGGACTCGCGTCGAGTGTGCAGAACGTTATACAAACATATTACACATAATATACAATACAATATTATAATAGAAGTGGTGGGAAGATCTGCTGCAGGAGAAGGACTCGCCCTGAACTTATATTTTTTGCGACGGGTGCATTTGTCCGAAAATACTGCAGTCGTCGTTTATCAGAAATATCGTTTATTTGTCATTAAAACTCATCCGGTAAGATTAATTTTTTTGTGGAAGCACTGTGTTTATCAATTTTGGTACAAACAAAGTATTCCAGTTTTCAAAAAAGTTAACATACATTGTAAACAATTATTTTTCTTTATAGTTTATTATCATTGTTTATAGTTGCTAATATATTACACGTGTTTATGCTGTATATGCTGTATATTTTTTAAATAACGATAAAAAAATTATGTAAATATATCAGCTATTTGGACACTTAAATACTAATTGTAAATAATATTTTGTATATCAATCAATTTGTCTTTATTTTAAATAGTGAATGTACATGATATTTGATATACATCCAAGTAAATAGCCTGTTCGTTCTATTATAATTTAAAGAAAAAACTTTTTACATACGTCATTTTTTCTTTACTAATTCATAATATAATCGTAATATTTTGAGTAATTTATTGTCTTTTTATTTATTAATTAATTAAAATATGCCATCTACCTATCTATTTTTTGCTGAGATTTATTATTATTTTTTCCTCGAATATAAATTATTATATTTTTTTTTCAAAGAAAGTACGCTGATGTCTGTTTTGTATTAATGATTGATATTTTCGACTCCACAATACGCCCACCTCCACACCACAGTACTGCTTACCAATTAATACTTACGAATTTCTTTTTTTTTTTCTGCTTATATAATATTAAGACTGAATCATACATTCATACCTATAGGTAACCTTGGGACGAATAGGGATAAGCACGTATTTTATTTTTGTTTTTGCAGGATTTTGTTTTTTTATTGGATTTTACTGATAATTAATTTAACTTAAAATTGTGTTTCTTTTCATTTTCAAACTATTTTTCTCTGAACAATACATTTTTTAAGTATAACTCAACATTTATAAAATTTTAATTTACTGTTCTATTCACCCCGTAGACAGTGTGAATACATTTTTAGAGCAAAATTATTCTGTGACCTATTCATATAATAAATATGAATAGGGTCACATTTTTGAAAAGAATATATAAAAAAATCCAGCAAAGTGAATATATTTTTTTATAATAAATTATATCGGGAGACATCTTACCTTTCATTAAAAAAAAAAATTTATCTTAAATAGAATTTCCAAAATATCTTGTTCAATAGACATTACCATATTTTTAATACATTTCAAGTACATTTCCAAACGATTCTGCTCTAAAGATGATCCAGTCTGTTTTTAATTATTTTTAGTTTACTAAATAACCTCTCTTGAATGCACGACATAGTTAAAATGTATTCATGCACAGAGTATAAATAACTGATAGTTTAACAGTGCAGATTAAAAGAAAAAATATATTAATATTTTAATATTTCAAAAAATTGAGCAATTTATGGACATATAATATATTAAAAAATCTTAATTGTGTTGAACATTGTATTTTTCAATTTTATGAATTTAATTTTAATTTTTTATGATTAAATCATATTTATTTCAGAATGCATTAAATTTTTTAAAATACAGAGTGTAACAGTGAAGACCTGACGGATGAAATAACTTTTGTTCTAATCAGTATTAAATAATTAATTGTACCTAACAAGTGTCTATAATATAAATTACATGTAAAATAAAAAAAAAATTCAAAAAATTCAAAATAGCCAATTAATTTTGTAAATCTAATCATAACTTATAAGAACAACTTTGTTGGTAAAAACATTTATCTTGGTCAAGTTTATTAACTGCATCATCTTTCTCTAAATCAGCAAGTTGGTTGAGAATGCGCTTTAGGCCATAATTTATTGTTGTGCGTTTTTTTTACGAAAGGATTGGTGCGAGACACTATGACGGAGACAAATTACAATGACAAATAAGTATAGGTAATATAATAATTAAATCTAAAGTAAATACTTAAGTGTAGCTTTACTAACTATCGCGCAATGGTCCCAAGTAAATTTCTGATAATTTTGATATTTTAAAATAATTAATTCTGTGTATAGTTTAAACAATGAAGTATAAACAATGTTGTTGGTAAATAACTGTCATTAACATTACACCATATTTTATCAACTCTTACAGAGTTATCAGATATTATGACACGTAGGTAGGTACTCTTTAAATCGTCTACGACCGCGACAGCGGTTTTTAAAAATTTGGTGAACATGGACACCTGATGGAAGACCAAAAAAAACGCTGACCTCCCACCAATTTTCTTTCGAATACCTACCTACCTTTTTTTTACGAAATATCCCATATTATCATAATTAATATTTTAATACTTGTTTTATATTACAAATCAAATATCAAATAAGTATACTAACATACCTACATGACTACATATTTATAATTATTTTTCTTATACATAATTTTTCATAAAAATGTAGTATTTTAATTTTAGATAGAACTGCCGTGGACCACAGTTTAAGAACCGGTCTGGTCTACGTCTAAATATTATCTTCGGCGGTACAAATAACGTTCAGTGCATACCTAAAAGATTAAGGAATTATAAGGAAAAACGGGAATTTTTACCCAAAATCGGTTTTCGAGAAAATCGTTTTTGGTTTTTGGTGCGACTCTTAAGCAAATGATCGTACATGAAATTTTGACTGAATATTTATATTAACATTTTCTATACACCATAACAATTAAAAAAAAATAAAAAAATAAAATTTCTATAAGAAAGTCAAATTAAATTTTTATGAGCGTTTGAAATTCAAATTTTTACAACATTGGATATTCACTTGATTTCTCATGGAGCGATTTCCTTATTTTGTTGTAATTCAAAAACGAATAACTGTAGATACATAAAAATTTCACTGAATATTTATATTAGCATTTCCTATACACCATACAATTTTGAAAATATTTTGACTCTTTTTGAGCTGTTAGTCTGTTTTCAGTTTTCAATTATTTTAGTTTTTTTTACTATAAATATCAATAAAGTTTTATCTGTTGGGCCAAAAAGTGTAAAAATGTAATACAAGGCTCCTGATATATTGTTACAATATCAGTTGAAAAATATTAAAAAATAAAAATACATAAGCACAATTTTTTTTTATAAGCACTTAAAGATGGAATTTTGAAAAAAATTATCAAATTTAAAATTGAATAATTTTGATGTAGTTAAAAATATATAAAATGTTCAACTTTTATATCTAATAGGATTGAAAATTTAAAACAAGATTCCACGTAAGTAGTTAATTCTGTTAAAAAAAAATCTAAAAAATACACAAGCGCAGTTTATTTACATAGTCATTTTAAGTTCAAATTTGGACGAAATTACATATTAAAAAAACTAAAATAACTATTTTATTGTGATTGTATAATATTATTCGTGGGTACTTGAAACTTCTAAAGTATACTTATATATCTATGATAGTATCACGGTTTTTTATTGTAACTCGTTATAAGTGCCTAATGGATATTGTAATATGATTAATTTTTAATTTATTATAGGTACCTATTATAGGTCAATTTTTTTTTAATACCATAGATATGTATATAATATGTCTTAAACCTAGACTGACATTCTCCGCTCAGAATCGTTTTTCGTATACAATGATATTATATCATTGAATTCAAAGTTAACGGGACGCCTCACCCGCATAATATGTTGTCTCCGTCTTACAACTTACAAGTGCGTAACATAGCAAATTGTACTCTCAGCAGAACACTTGTAGGTCCGTTTGTTTAAAAATTAGAGTGAATTGATCTCTTATACAATTTAAAGACAAGTGTATTATCTAGGTAATCTCCTAGGGCTTTATATTATATTTTAATTTTAAAGCAAGTAATGAATATTTTAAGATGAACGAAAAATTCACAATTTTACAAATAACTGTCACCACTTGTTCGTGCATATAAAAGTTATATTCATTCTTTGGTGTGCGCTAATCGTGCTCTTAATTATGTAGTATAATCAAGGTCATTAATCGCCATATATTATTTATTTTGTGACCTCAAATATTATTATTTTTTATATCGCCGTTTATACTCAGCGGATTCCTGTCGACGAGCAGTCGACCAACACACTATTCTTATACTGTTAGTATTATATTATATGTGAACATAATATAATATAATATTATTCAGGGGTTCACAACAAAATCTCTTTTAGTTAATGTATGTATTTTGTGAGACGTCTAATATTTGATGTTTTTGGTAAATATTAAACAATTTTAAATGTAACTAAAATAATATTATTAATTAGTTCAAGTATCTATATCATAACGTAAACAAGATAACATATTATTATAATTATCAAGGTGGATCTATGAAGAAAATGTCGATCTCGTCTATAACAAGACGAGAGACGCCACACCGCCACAGTCATCAATAAAGTCGGCGTGCACTACGCATCGATATTCGGCATCAGATAGCCAGATAGGTAGGAATTTTCTAATTTAAATTTAAATTTGTATATATTTTAATATATTGATTAAATACATCGATTAAAGATTATATAAGCTTATATTTCAATAAGTACCTACCATACGTATTGCCCTGCAGTATTGCCCATTACTCGTTACCGTGCTGAATTCAATTCAATTACCTACCTACTACAATTAAGTAAGAAATTAATTTTATAAATTAAAATAATTATAATCTATAAATTCTTTAAATCTAATTTAGTTGTATAGAATAAATATTACATGTTATTTTTATTTTTATTATTATTTAAATATATTTTTGTTGTGACACCGCAGATGAGTACATAACTACCAAGAAAAAATGTATAAAGTGATATTTTAAAGATCACTTAATAATACAAAAAATAACATTCCTTGTATTTGTTTTTGATATTATCACCTATCCGTGGCAGTCTGCAACAGATATATACTTAAACTAAATAAATGAAAGTATACTAAACCTGTCATTATGCACATTTAATCTACAATCTAGGAACAATGAACATAAATAACAATTCCTTAATATTTATTTCAACACTTATTTATACTTGAAGTTATCCATTATACCTTAGTAATTTTTTTAACAGAAGTGGGTACTTTATTGGTCTTTATACAGGTTCTATACTAAAATGTATTATTAGGTCTTATGATGAACGATGATATAAAAATTTATCACAATTTTTAAAATAATTTCAAAGGTGTTATGTCGGTGAAAGAAATGGATGCCTTACATAATTCATCGAGTGAAAGTGATCCAAAACAAGTTCTGACATCCAAAGAATGTGAACCAACCAATTTTAGAAATAACTCTCACTCTGTCAGAATACTAGAAGATTTGCAATCTCTACGCCAGTATGTTAAAGGTGATTTTAGCTTTATTAAAAATAAATATTAGTAACGAATTTTTGTTTTTAGAAATGAAGTATTATGTGATATTAGATTTGAAACAGACGATGGATGTACAACGTTTGGCCATAAAAATGTTTTAATGGCAGCTAGTCCATATTTCCGTGCAATGTTCAGTAATTATTTTTATACATGTTAATATATCATATTTTCTTACAAGAAAAACTCTAATTGTTCATATCTCATACACTGTAGAATAGACAGAATTCGTTAATTTTTTTTGATATAATACACTGTATTAATCAGTGGCGCCGAAGTAAATACTAAGGTTGGCCACATTTTATTTACATCATAAATGAGCATGATTATATTATTTAAACAGTGATTATGAATAAATATATATTAGAGTTCCTTCATATTAAATAATTAAGATAGCAACTAAAATAAAAATATAATTTTCAAATTTCATAGAAACGCGGAAAATTGGAAAAACCGGCAACAACACCGTCAATATAAGAAAATTAGATTCTACTGTCTTACAACTATTATTAGATTATATTTATACGGGTGAAATTATCGTCACAAAAGAAAATGTACAGGTATACCTAATTAAAAATGTGATTTGTTACGGACAATAAAACAAAATTACTTTAAATGTATTATTGTTGAATGTTGATTTCTCCAGGTCTTGTTACCAGCCGCAAGCCTCTTACAATTAGATTTTGTAAATGACGCATGTGTTGAGTTTTTACAAAAACAACTGGATCCATTAAATTGTATTGATATCAGAGCGTTTGCTGACTTACAGAACTGTACGAAATTATTGTCAATTTCTGAAGCATATATTAAACAAAATTTTTTGTATGATTAACATTTTTTAATTCTCTATTTCAAACGTAAGTAGGTAACTTATTATAAAAATAATGATTATTATTTCCAGAGAAGTAGCTAAAGTCGAAGATTTTCTATCCTTATCTTGTGAAGATTTGGTGAAGCTTATTTCCTCTAATGACCTTGCTGTTCCATTTGAAGAAAAAGTAAGCAAACTAAAAATTGTATTTTTAATATTTTGAATGGAAAATCAACTTATGAAGGTTTACAAGTTGTACATTACAGTTGATGTCTAGAATCCACAGAAATCACTGTATCAGATGTGTTATATTTGAATTAAATTATATAAAATCATTGTAAACGAAAAACGATTCTGAGCAAATACGGTTTAATAATACTACTAGAAGTATATTTTATGATATTGTTAATAAACTAATATATTTTACTATTAGACATTAGAAATAAGTACTGTATTTCTGGAGCAGTTTTAATTATTTTTCCAAAAAAGTTGCATATGAAAAGATCATTGTGTGCATACAATATAACAATATATTTTAAAATTTTAAATTCCTACAAATAATATTTTTAAATTAAATAACTAAAATTAATAAAGCTTGATGACCATAGAAAATAATTTTATTGACTGTTATTGAATATAAACAAAACAATTTCTTATTTTAAATGTCTATAAATATTAAATAGCTCTAAAGACTAAAATAGTCAAAATATTTTTAAATAGTTCAAATCAATTGTATCTTCTTAATGATAATGAAGTTTTGCGGTCGGCTCCGATTAAAATTAATTGGCAATAACTATCACCTATAATTAATAAATATTCATTTGTCTGCTATAAAAAGTAGGAAACCATGGTCTTAAAGATCTATTATATTTTTTGATCGTATGAAAATTATACACTATTGAATGGTTATACAAACTATTATTATATTTTAATCTAGTTTTAAATATTTGTTATTATAGGTATTTGAATGTGTTATAAAATGGGTAAAACATGATTCAGATCATAGAATAGATTTTTTGCCAAAATTAATGGAACATGTACGTTTGCCATTATTAAAGCCTGATATATTATTTAATATATCTCAAGAACCTCTTCTAAAAAATAGTTATAAATGTATGTTATTTTCATAAATATGCCATCATTATGGATTTATACATTTTATGAATTATTATTATAATTTTTTTAGGTATAATCGAAGCATTACATTTTAATCATCAAAAATCAGTTCAGCATTTCACCATTCCAAAAACAATTAGGTTTAAACCTAGACAGTTTGATGGTTTTCAAAAAGTATGATTCCAAATTGATTAATTTATCTTCACAATAATTTTGTGCATTTAATTCTATTAGGTTCTTCTAATGTTCAGTAAGTCTAATACATTGCCAAAGTGTTATACAGAATGGTATGACCCAGCAACCAAGCTAAGAAAAAATGCACCAGGAATAAATGAATGTCGGAATTATGCTGGTTTTGGTGTAATAAATGATCAATTTGTGTTTGCTGTGGGAGGTGTAAATGGATCGAGTTCTAAATCTGTTAGTATGCTTGACGTATCTTCACAATCACCTTCATGGGTTCCAATGGCTGACATGTTAGTTAGTAGAAGGCAATTGGGAGTTGGAGTATTAGGTGATTCAATATATGCTGTAAGTTAAACCAATATTTTACTTATTTTATATTAAAAATGTATATTATTTGTAATTCTAGGTTGGTGGATTTGACGGCAACAGTGGTTTAAATAGTGTAGAGGTATTTGATGTCAGTACCCAAAAATGGAGAATGGTGTCTAGTATGACAATTGATAGACGTAAATTTGGCATTGGTGTACTCAATAATTGTCTATACGCGGTGAATAATTATATTATAATTTATTTATTTATTTTTAATTTGTATTACATTTAATTTAATTTAATTGTGTAGGTCGGAGGTGTTGAAGGTGATGGTAGAGGTTTATGTTTGAAATCTGTGGAATATTATGATCCCGCACTTGACACATGGACTTCAGTTGCAGAATTGTCTGAACACCGTGATAAAGTTAGTATAGGAGTTTTGGACGGTCTTATGTATGCTATTGGTGGCTATCATGGAAAATATCTTTAAAGTGTTGAGGTTTATAGACCGAGTGATGGAGTTTGGTCGTCTGTAGCTGATATGGAAATATGTCGATGTTCCCCTGGTGAGTAGTGACTATGACAATTATATTTTTTTAGAATAACATTTGTAATAATATATTGAATTTAAATTACATTATCTTATAGGAGTAGCCGTATTAGATGGTTTATTGTATGTTTTTGGCGGAGAAACAGGATCTATTGTTGATACTTTTGAAATTTACAACCCTAACACCAATACTTGGACCTTGGAAAGATTGTCAAGAAATGGAGTACGAGTTTATGGTGGAGTAGTTGTCGATAGACCACATCATTATCATTAATCAGCTTACAGTAGTACTCGTTGTTAATAGTAATATGAACAAATTTTTGTGTAAATGATGATGACACGTGTATTGTTTTAAATATTTTTGTTATTTTCAATAAATATTTGATAAGAATGTTTTTTTTATAATTTATACTAACTATTTTCAAATAAAAAAATAAGCTATACTTAAATTATATCTATAATCTACTATTTAAATTATAATTTTTAGTTTCTTTGTGGAACTTTGTAGTGTGTACACATTAAAAATGTACTTGACATTTGTAGCAAATGATTATTTCATCATTTTATATACATGATAAAATATTCAAAATATTTCGAGTCGTATTAGGAGATTTATAGATGTTTTGATTTTTTTTTTTTTAGTTCATTTTCTATAACTGTTAATAATAATGTTACTGTTGGGTCAGAAAGCTTAAATACTTAATTCTTTGTTCCTCATACGTTGTTATGGTAACAGTTTAAAAATGTTATTAATGTATGAGTACAATTTTTTTATAAGCATTTTACTTCAAATTTTGAAAATACTATGCTGTTAAAAACGTATAAATTGTTCAATTTGTATAGCTAAGGATTGAAAATTAAAAATAAGGTTTCTACTTTCCTGTAAGTAATTTATATTGTACCTATAAAATCTATAAAATATATAAACCCAGTTTTTTTTGTGATAGATATTTCAAGTTCAAATGCAAAAAGTTCAACATTGCAAAAACTGTTTTGCGCGGGACAACTTTTATCTTTCTGTGTTTGTAGTAGTGGCTCAAAAATTTCTCAACATATAGGATGGAAAATTATCTATGCAACAGCTTGCCCATATTTTAGATAACACAAATACAATAAAAATTATTGGCTTCTAAACATTTGGTTTTTTCTTTTGCTTAATAAAAATGATTGGATAGTGCTATTAAAAAAAAGCACCAAGTTCCACCGATAAAATTCTTCTTTACGTGTTGTGAATATTTTTTTAGATCTACAACAAATATGGTGCGAGAAGAGTGGTTCCGTGCAAAATAGTTTTAAAAGCGCCGGGGGAAAAAAAAATAAAAATTAAGGAAAAACGGGAATTTTTAAGCAAAATAGGTTTTTGACAAAATTAATTTTGGTTTTCAGTTAACTCTAAAACAAATAACTGCAGTTACATGCAATTTTCTCTGAATGTCTATATAAGAATTTTCTATACACAATAAAATGTTCAAAATAATTTGACTTGTTCTGAATACGGACATTTTCAGTTTCCAATTTTTAAGTTTTTTTCTATAAATGTCAATAATATTTTAAAGCTTGAACATTTAATATTATATATTGTTACAATATCAGTTGAAAAATATTAAAAATACATTCACAATTTTTTCTTAGAAGCATTTAAAGTTCAAATGTTGTTAAAATAGTGATTTTCTTATTTTGTTGTAATATTTTAAACACGAATCACCTGTAGATACTTGAAATTTACACCAAATAACATCTTATCAATTCCCATACTTGATAAAATGTACAAAATATTTAGACCCGTTTTGAACATTTTAAATTTTAAATTTTTTTAGTTTTTTTTCTTTGACTATCAATAAAATTCAATTTGTTGGGTCAAAAAGTGTGAAAATTTAGTACAAGGCTCCTGCTATATTTTTACTACAGTAGTTGAATAATTTTTAAAATACATAAACCGTAAGAGCGGGATTCTTTACTCCAGGGGTTAAACATTGCTAAAAAAAATGTTTATTGATATCAATCGTAGCACGAATGATCGTTACATTAACTAATAAAATAAATTATTATTAAACAAATAGTTAATGCATTTAGGTACCTGATCACTGATCAGTGATCAGTAATCATTTAAAAGAACTATTAACATAATATTATGTTGTTTCACATCGTGATATGAAACAAAACAATATTATTGTTAATTTTTGAATATTATTTATTATATATTATTTTTTTAACGAACAGTATACCTATATTATATAAGTAGGTATAAATGTATAATAATATATTTGTAATTAAATATTAATAATGTTCATATAAAATTGTATTAGTATTCTATTTTTTTTTTATTTTTTTGTTAATCAGTAGGTATAAACTTTACTTTGTATTACTATTATTGTTATGACGTATAAGCTCTATGTCATGTATAAAATTGATATTATACTGTGTTGGCTATTATCTAAATAAACATATTATATTATATTGTGTATTACTGTGCTGGCTATAAATATTACTATTATTATTATTATTATTATTGTAGTAGGAAGCTGGTGAATATATTGTTTATTTTTGGACGACGATAAACATTTTGTAAATGTTTAATCGAATAAAATTAGTTTATTTATATTGTAATATATTTCGACAGTGTTTTTTTTAATAATTGTATCGAATACGTTTTTAACTATTTTAACTTTGGTTTTTATACTATTATAATGTTATTAAATTAAAGTAATGTTTTCAATTTGATTTTTGTCCACGGCTTAAAATAGCTGCCGACACAGATTCTAGCACCCTAAGTTTCAACCGTGAAGTCAACCAATATTATTAAGATGTGGCTGAAGCTGGTCCAAGTTATGCTAAAGGTATGGTTTTAGTTAAATTCCATTTTACTTGAGTATTAATAATACTTAACGTAGTAAAATTAGTTATAGAACGATAGGTGCCCTTAGGATTGATTCGATAATCCATATTTATTAAAAACCGGATTTTAGTGAAATATGTTACAGGTGGAAGGCCCACAAACTCGTTATAATATGTTTAAAATTTGTACGAGATTAAATTTCTTTCAAAATTAAAATCCTAAGAAAGCCTATTTTTATCGTATTAAATATTTGAACTAAATAGTATTTGAACTAAATAACTAATAGTCGTTACTTATATTCGATAAACAGTGTATTTTGCTATTTTTCTTCTTGAGGAGTTCGGTTTTTAAATGAAAATAATAATTTCTAGTGATAATACATAATATTATATAAAAACACAAATATAATAAAAATATACATAATATAAATACTAAACACATCATAATAATGTAAAAAATGAAATGAATAATTAGGTAACGAATTCAGTAAGTCTAATAAAAATTACATAGGTCCTACTTATATTAAGGTAATGTCCCAGGTTTATATTTTATTTTTATTGTTGTGATTTTTCTAGAATCACTGTATCTTTTATTAGGTACTGCTAGTTATTAGGTACTTACCTATGTTCTACTCGAAATAATATATTTACAGTCAACATTTATGTCATACAAATTCATCAGTCAGACAAATTATTTTTAAATGTTTTTAATCTTTTAATTGTAATTCATAAATAATAATTAGAGTAGGTATTAGGTACATTTAACTTTTTTACGTTCTATCTATTTCACTATAATGATTACCTATATATAAATGATCCAGCACATTTTTGTTAAAAAAAGTATTTTTTACCCATTGAAATTGAATAAAAATAGATGAAAAATAGTTTGTTCGCATAACAATAGTTTTTAAAAACATTACAATTATGTACTTATTTTATTAGTTTATTATATGTATCAAAAATTTATTGATTTTAAATGGATATGATATTCATATGTATATATCAAATATTTTATTATATCATGTTACGCATTAAAAGTTTAATTATTAAATATTCAATAACTAAATAATAATAATAATAATTATTATTATTACATTTTTTAATTTTTTATTTGACAGCTCATTTCGACAAACCGTATAATTTTGGTGAACCGTAGGCAGCATTTGAAATGTAAGGTGTAACTCGTATAGTGACGCCTATAGAGATTTAAGCGCAAAATAATATAAAGTGTCAATTTTTAATTAGTTATAGTTTGTCGTTAGGGTTACCTACTTAATCGGTTTCAAAATTTTTTGAAAATGTGTGGAAAAAGACTCGAGTCGTACGTGTCACGGTAGGTACCTACAGCCGTACCGAGTAAGCTGTAGGCATACGTACTTTACAAACATAATATAATCATTTAAATAAAATCAATGTATATTAATACATGTTAATTTTCAGATCAATTTTCCACAATTTTTCTTATTTTGTTATCATGCTTCTTGTACTTTTTACGGCGTGGTTTACTTGATTCTGTCGATAAACGTTTTTCCAACCGTATAAAGCTGCTCAGCTAAACACCCAGCTAGAGTTTAGTAACGAAAGTCCTACTTAATCAACAGATAAGGACTCTACCATTTGTATATTAATAGCATAGTATGTACGTGTAGTAAATACCTAGAAAATATAAATTAGTAGGCTACTAGACTATCGTATACTAGACAACTTGTCTATGCTCAAATTGTGTCTAAGTGCAATAAAATATAATATGTCGATCATGTCTTGTGTTAAGACTAAGTATATTGTAATTTGTAATAACTTATAACTAACCATCAAAAGTAGTTAGTGTAAAATTGTGAAAAAAACTCAAAAAATAAATTACAAAAAAAATGGAAAATCAATTAATGTACGAAGACGTTTATACACTTAACATTTACACTTGAAGTAAAAATACAATTTTTTTAAATAATATAGTTAAAAATGCACATTTGTTGCCGAGATATTATGTATAATGGTATAATATTAAAATGTGTAAATGGTAATACAGTTTAAATACAACTATTTAGGTTAAATATGTATTATATTATACAATAGTCGTTTACCTACAAATTTTTATTTTTTAAATT